GAAATGTCTATCCATCCATTCCAATTGCCTACGGTAGATATCAAAAAGAGGATTACGACACTATTAAATTGATGCTTCATCTCATTGAATACGATACGTATAAATGGCAAGTATGCTCCGATCTCAAAATGGTTGCGATTCTCTGTGGGATTAGGCAAGCATACTCAAAGCATCAGTGTTTATTGTGCAAGTGGGAAGGCCGCGCTGACGATTTTCACTATGGTTTTGAATGGGAAGCTCGAGATAACCGCAAAATCGGCGAATATAGCATTGTTTTCGAGCCATTGATTGATTTTGAATTAGTTATATTGCCACCCTTGCACATAAAATTGGGATTGATCAAAAACTTTCTCAAAGCATTGTACCGCATAAACCCAGACACATTGACATTTTTGATCGGATATTTCAAGAATCAATTGACCCCTGCAAAAGTGGAAGGATGTGGTCTAAACGGGAAACAAACTAATAAGTTATTTGGAAGCGCCGAATTTCTGAACATGCTCTCTCCACTCGAGAAACGAGCATTTTTGGGAATACGCGATGTTTGTGAAAATTTTCTGGGCAACACACGAGCTGAGAACTATGAAGAAATCGTGGATGACATGTTAACTGCATTCCAGGAAATGGGTGTGCATATGTCCCTAAAAATACATTTTTTGCACAACCATTTGGACTTCTTCCCTCCCAACTGCGGCCAATGTAGCGACGAACAAGGCGAGCGTTTCCACCAGGATATTTCAACAATTGAAGAACGCTTCAAAGGGAAAGATGGGACGCATATGTTGGGCGAATACTGTTGGTCAATCTGCCGTTCAACAGACCCCGATCTACATAAGCGCAAAACTCGACGACCAAGTTTTTACACTCCCAAAAAGCCTTAATTCAAAGTAGAATTATAATTTCAATCGTTTTCTATCATTTTCAACAGATTTGAGTTGAGAAATTTCGATTAAAATGCAAAAAAAGTCAATTTTTCCATATAAAATGGGCAAAAATCCAAAATTTTCCAAAAAAATGAGATTTTTCTTCCCGATATAGGTTCAATTCAATGTATTATTGTAGTTTCAATCGTTTTCTATCCTTTTCAATAGATAAGAGCGAAGAAATTTCGATTAAAATGCAAAAAAAGTCAATTTTTTCATATAAAATGAGCAAAAATCCAATATTTTCCAAAAAAAATGAGATTTTTTTTCCCGATATAGGTTCATTTCAAAGTAGAATTATAATTTCAATCGTTTTCTATCCTTTTCAATAGATAAGAGCGAAGAAATTTCGATTAAAATGCAAAAAAAGTCAATTTTTCCATAAAAATGAGCAAAAATCCAAAAATTTCCAAAAAAAATCGATTTTTCTTTCCCCAATTCAATGTATTATTGTAGTTTCAATCGTTTTCAATCATTTTCAATAAACACCAGCCAAGAAATGAGCAAAAAATGATGTTTTGAGTATAAACAAAAATCGCTGATTTTTCAGGTTTCCAAAAGAACTACAGAAATCGATAAAAAAAAATCTAGACGTGGTTTCGAAGAAACTAATGATGCAAAAGTGCTTGGTTTTTGGTCCTCTAAAACAAGCAATTGGAGTTTCTCATGTGCAGAAAAAAAAGTTGAAATTTGTTACACGGTGTAATTTATGTTCAGATTTTTTTTTAAATTTTATTTTTATTTCCATTATTGTATTTTATTGTTGGAATACTGAAAATTCATTTGGGACGCCTAAAATCATTTCGAGCTCCCGCATAGATTTTTTGTAGCCTCTTCTATCAAGTAATGGTATTGCTTTATTAAGTTCGAATCTATTCACTGCGTGACTTCGAAGTGGATTTCTGAAGAGAGAAGAAAAACACTTAAAATGAACATTGAATAAATAATAAAACGCTTAGGCACATACACTTCACTGGTACCAAAAAATTCGACTTCAATGGATACACCGTCAATTTTATTTATCCGCGCGGGCCAAGGTGGATATCCTGGAACAGATGCCATAACTACCTCATTTTCAATGAATACCTTTTCGGCTGATTCATGCGCTATTCTTTCTTTCAAGCTAAGGCGTGATGTGGCGTTTGTCTTTCTTTTGTTTTTTTTTGGCATTGCATCTGTTTTGTTTATCGTTGCATTGTGATTCCTGGTAGATCGTCGCGATTCGGGTTGGTTGGGCTCTTCGTTTGTCGTGGGGTTTTCAGCGAAATGTACACTTTTACACAAAGCATTCCGTCGACTTGGCCGGTTCGTGTCAATTGTAATGTTTTTCTGTTTCAGGGATTTGACGGACTAAATTGCAAAAAATACACACAATGTTTAAAAAAGAATAGATTTCAGGATGAGATGAAAAACAACCTCAGTTTGTTCGACTGTATTTTCCTTGTCTTTCTTAGATGTTTGGAATCGATTATGTTTAGTTGGAACTTCCGATGCATTTGTTTGATATTTCGTTGCAATGTGAATTCTGGTAGATCGACGCGATTCGGGATGGTTTGGCTCTTTGTTTGTCGTGGGTTTTTCAGCGGAATGTACACTTTTACACAAAGCATTCCGTCGATTTGCCTGGTTCGTGTCAATCGTACTGTGTTTCCGTTTGAGGGATTCGACGGTCTAGAAAAAATACACACAATGTTTTAAAAAGAATAGTTTCTAAAATGAGATGAAAATCAGCCTCAGTTTGTTCGACTGTGTTTTCATCATGAATTTTGTTCATCATGTGTTGCTTACCGTTTTCGTTACATTATGTTCACTTTTGTTGTCAATAGAAATTTGTTCTGTATTTGGTGTTAATACGTTGTCTGTTTTATTTTTATTCTCTTTGATTCGCTTTGATGTTCTTTTTTCCATATTATTTAATTGCACTTCTTGTTTGTTTGACAAAAACTATACTTTTAATATTTAAAGACAAAAAATATTGCTTTTAAACGAACATAGAAAATATCATGGCGATATTGGTTATGTTGCTAATGCATTTGACACTAGCAATTAGATGTACTAGAATAGATGTCAGCAAACAAAATATGAATGACATTTCATATTATCATTTTATTTCGCAAAAGTTGTTCGATCTCAAAATGAGTGCAGAAAAATACTTCGGTACTCGTGATTTATATCAAATTCTTCAGTTGAAACCAAATGCTGAAATTCAAGATGGTACGTATTTTATTGTGTTTCAACAGAGATCACATTTAAAAAACATCGCATTGATATGATTCGTTGCAGTGAAAAAAAGTTTTTATAAACTGGCGCTCACTTTTCATCCAGATCGGGTGCCAATCAATGAGAAGGAAGAAGCAAAGGAAAAGTTTAATGTTATTCACAACGCCTACTCAATACTTTCTGATATAGCAAAGAAAGAAATGTACGATAATGGATCACGAGTTCTGTTTACGAAGGTCACTATAGCAGCACAATGGGAAAACTTTCTTAAACCAGTAAGCTGTGAAGCAAAAGAAGAAGCCAGAAAAAAGTACCAAGGTTCACTACAGGAGAAAACCGATTTGATTAGAGAATTTGTTGCTGGAAAAGGGAGTCTCACATATGTTCTCAATAATTTACCGTTCATGCGATCAGAAGATGAAATGAGAATAATAGAAATATTGAAAGACCTCATCGACAAAGGCGATATTCCGAAAATTCCAATTAAAAAAATTAGACGTTGAAATTTTCATTGCATCGTAATAGATTATTTCTTCATTGCAACGTAATAGATTATTTGTTCGTTCATCACGAAAATATGATAAATGTAATTGAACTGTCACCAACGATATGTGAAATCGCAAATCATCCTCAACCAAGCAAAGAAGAAATACATTCACGAAAATTTGAACAGTTGTTTTTATTATTAATAACCTGAAAGTTCTTTAAATAAAAGTTAATTTAGTATTGAGAAAAACTGATATATTTCCACCGTGTTTATTTGATTTATGCTATTAAAATGAATACAAGAACTACCAAAAGAAAAGCATCGGCAATCGATTGCTTTAAGAAGGCCGAATCAAAGAGACGACGAACAGACCAACAATACGAGTCAGTTGAACTTGTTTCTGAAAATAGCCAAAATAAGGTAAAATTTATTGCAATCAATTCATAAACTCTGCATTGCTAATAGTTTGCTATTTGTTTTCAACATGAAGAAATGTGTGGATAGTGACTCCATTGGAATGTATTATACGGACGATAGTTTTGACTCTAACTGCCTTGACAATTCAACTACATCATTTGTTGAAGAAAATTTGTCGCTACGTAAAAAGCAGGTACCGGTGTGATTAATCATTACATGACAATTTAAAGGGATTAGTATTTATTGATGTGTGATCAAAAAGTTTTGCAACATTTGGATTGTTTCTATCGATGTATTCAATTTTAATTTTTTTTTCTCACTTCATCGCTGCAATGTTTACAGTCCGCCGGAAAAGAACGAAAAAAAAGAACAAGAGCAAAGAAATCCGGGAGCGAGTCCCAGAAGAATCCCACAAACGCTACCAAATCGACAAACAAAAGTATGGCACAGATCGAAAAAACGTTGGACATCTCATTGGTATTTATAGTTTCA